CGGAACACGGAGCTTTTGGCGACACTGATTCGGTCTGAACTGGAGTACGCACTGTGACGCGCGAGGCGCGATTATGTAAAGCGCAGTCAGCGGGGGGCGCCGCCTGGAGGAACTGTCTTCCCACCCGAACCTAGGAAGCGCCCAGGCTCCTCCCACTTCTTCTCAGCCTTCCCGCCCTCGCTCCGCCTCTCCTCGGCCGCGAGTGCAACAGCGCTTCTCGCGATACTTCATAGAGTTGTGATGTTTTGGTTTCCATGGAGCTGCCTCTGAGAAACGAGGGAAGCTATTGGACCGAGGGCGTGGCATTTGTTGAACTAGAACTCTGTCACCACCCAGAGCCCAGAGAGGGTGGGGAGCTTGTAAAAGAAGCCCTCCATCATCGGAGCAGGAGGGTTCCACCCAACCTCTCATCCAAGGAAGAAGTGGCTACTACGAGGGGCAACTTAGAAGGGTGCCCTCCAACCCCTAAAAAGAAAGGGATTCTAGGGTCATTGACCTCCTAAGAGAAAAGGAGAGCCCCAGAGAGAGCACACCTATGTTACGGAAGAGGGATATTAGATGACAGTCCTTCCAGGAGGCATAAGACGAATAGTCAGGAGTCCCCGTGGCCTGGAGGACACTCAGAGTGGAATACAGTTGGCCTAGGCCTGCTTTCTACTGTCTCCCTTGCTCCTAGACTCTGTCTCAAAAAAAAAAAAAAAAAAAAGAAACGGAGAATAGGGCACAGCGGACACCAGGGCTCCGAGATGGCATCAGTCGTACCAGTGAAGGAAAAGAAACTCATGGATGTCAAACTAGGGGAGCCACCAAGCTGGATTTTGATGTGGGTTTTCACCCCTAAAGGCATTGCTGAAGCCTTTCAAAAAGGTTGCTACTGGTATTACAACAAGTATGTCAACATGAAGAAGGGGAGCATCACTGGGGTTTCTATGGTGCTGGCAGCTTATGCGCTTTTCAACTACTGCCTTTCTTACAAAGAGCTCAAATACAAGGGCAGTACCACTGAAGAGGAGCCCATGTAGGGGGAGCACTTTGCACTCCTGACCTTGACCTCCTTGGCCCAGCACCCTCTGTGAGGAACTTGATCATTGCTGAATCCTTTCAGATCCTAGTGAGAATTAACCTCCAAATAAAGATGACTGGGAAAGAAAGAAAGAAGGAAGGAAGGGAGGGAGGGAGGAAGTAATGGGGGGAGGGAGAGAAGAGGCCAGGTGCAGAGGCTCACGGCTTTGTGCATGGCACTTTGGGAAGCCAAGGCAGGAGGATCACTTGAGGCCAGGAGTTAGAGACCAGCCTGGGCAACATAGCGAGACCCCATCTCTACAAAAAATTTTAAAAATTAGCCAGGTGTGGTGGTGTGCACCTGTAGTCCCAGCTACTTGGAAGATTGAGGCAGGATTGCTTGAGTCCAAGAGTTCAAGGTTACAGTGAGCTATGATCAGGCTACTGCACTCCAGCCCAGGCAACAGAGTGAGACCCTGTCTCTAAAAAAAGAAAGAAAAGAAAAAAGAAAAACAGAGAAAAGGCCAGTATAGCTAGGGTTCAGTGGGTCAGAGAGAAATTGGAGATGTCAGCAGGGATGCAGGGGCTATGTAAACCTTGACATGGATATGGATATGTGGCAAAGTACTGTGGGAAAGAAGCTATTGGCAGTTTTTAAGCAGGTAAGTAACATGATTGGATTTATATTTTTAAAATATTTGTCTGGCTGCTATGAGAAGAATAAGTTGCAAGGGGCTGGAGTAAAGGCAGAGAGATCATTTAGGAGGCTATTGCAGTCATCTAGGTGGGAGATGGTGGTTAGATTGCTTGAGTCCAGGAGTTTGGTGGTTAAAAGGTAACAGTGGAGAGAAGTGGACAGATTCAAGATATATTTTGGAGGCAGAATCAACAGGACTTAGGGATGGATTGGATTTGGGAGGTGGTGAGGGAAAGGAAGAAATTATGGTCAATGTGTCCAGCTATGTGGAGGGTGGTATCATTTCCAGCAAAAGAGAAGACTAGAAGGACAGATTTCAGAAATAAAACCAAGAGTTTTGTTTTGACATGTTAAGTTCTAAATGCCTGTGGGACATCCAAGGAGAGACACCATGAGGGCAGGTGGCTCTATTCTGTCTTCTGTTAGAGGAGAGGTCTGGGATGAAGATCGAGTTTTGAAGATCAGCAGGTATTTAGTGCCCTGAAATCACATATGACCTTGGAAGCCTAGTGACAGAGGAGAACAGTGTGTCTTCATGAGTTAAGGGGAGTTCCATCCAGTCAAGGAGGAGACGCACTAGTCACAGTGTCATTTGCTACTGAGAGACTAAAGTGAGGACAGAGGACAGTGACTGGTGTTTCCTGAATGTCTACCCTGTAAAAACTTGCTCCTTCTCCACTTATCTAGTTTTCCTCCTTCATGTGTCTTTGGCAGCAGCGGTTGGGTGTGCCCCTGAGGGAGTAACGGGAGAAGAGAATATTTCTAGCAGTATTGTTCATAATTGCAAAAGAAAAGGTGAAAGAACAAAATAACTATCTATTCACAGAACATGGAATGAATGAATTGTGCTGTGCACAGGGTGTCATGGAAGTTCGGAGAGGGGACAATCGGCTTCAACTGGGTTAGCTCTTCCAGAATGTCATTGCTTGACAGTCTCCAGAGAATCTTCATTTTAAGGAGGATGGCATAGTTCCAAGGTGGAGAAGGGGAGTTGATAACAATTATGACTGGCTTTGGTTGCAGGTATGAATTTTCAGTTCACAAAGTCAGAAATGAAACTTTTTTAAAAGCTAAGGCCGCAAGTGGTGGCTCATGCCTATAATCCCAGCACTTTGGGAGTGCCAGGTGGGAGGATCACTTGAGGCCAGGAGTTTGAGACTAGCCTGAACAACATAGTGAGACACTGTCTCTACAAATAATAATAATAATAATAATAATAAAAATTAGTCAAGCATGGTGGCAACCACCTGTGGTCCTAGTTACTTGGGAAGCTGAGGCAGGATGATTGCTTGAGTCCAGGAGTTTGAGTAAGCTATGATCCTGCCACTGCACTCCAGCCTGGATGAAAGAATGAGAACCTGTCTCTTAAAAAAGAAAAAAGGAAAAAAAAAAAAAAACCAGGACAGGCATGGTAGCTCATGCCTGTAGTCCTAGCACTCTGGGAGGCCAAGGTGGGAGGATCACTTGAAGTCAGGAGTTTGAGACCAGCCTGAGTAAGAGCGAGAACCCATCTCTACCAAAAAATAGAAAAAAATTAGCCAGGTGTGGTGGCATATATCTGCAGTCCCAGCTACTTGGGATGCTGAGGCTGGAGGATCACTTGAGCCCAGGAGTTTGAGGTTGCAGTGAGCTATGCTGACGCCACTACACTCTAGGCCTAACTGACAGAGTGAGACTCTGCCTCAAAACAAAACAAAACCCCACTAGATTTTTCTTTTCTTTTTTTGAGAAAGTCTCACTATGTTGCCTTGGCTAGAGTGCCGTGGTGTCAGCCTAGCTCATAGCAACCTCAAACTCCTGGTCTCAAACAATCCTCCTGCCTCAGCCTCCTGAGTAGCTGGGACTACAGGCATGCGCCACCATGCCTGGCTAATTTTTTCTATATATTTTTAGTTCTCCAGCTAATTTCTATTTTTTTAGTAGAGATGGGGTCTCGCTCTTGCTCAGGCGGGTCTTGAGCTCCTAAGCTCAAGCAATCTGCCTGCCTCAGCCTCCTAGAGTGCTAGGATTACAGGCGTGAGCCACCACACCCGGCCAAAACCCCACTAGATTTAATTTCTATTTTATTTATTCAATAAGGAGCCATTGAACATCTAATAAGTACCAGCACAGAGCTAAGCCCTGGAAGTACAGCAATGAGTATGGACCAATATTCTGTCCTTGTGGAGCTTCCATTCCTGGGGTGGGTGAGCCACTTGATATATGAGTAAACAAATTCATAATATAATTTCAGGTAATGCTAAGTTCTCAAACAAAAAATATAGCAGGAAAGAGGGACAGAGAATGATGGGAGAGCCTCTATTTTAGGTAGAAAAATCAGAGAAGACTTCCCTGAGGAGGTGGCATGTGAGCAGACACCTAAATGAAGTGAAGAAAGCAAACCCTGTGATGACCAGGGAAGAGCATTCCAGATGGAGGGAACAGTATGTGCAAAGGACCTGAGTCTGGAAGAGCTGGGCATGTGTGAGTAACAGTAGGACCAGTGCAGGTGGCCTGGAGGAATGAAGGGGACAGCGATAGGAGATGGTCAGGGAAGCAGCCAGGAGACAAGTCCTGTAGAGCCTTATGGGCCATGGTAATGAGTTTAGATTTTGTTTTCAGTCGGATGGGAAGTCATTTAAGGCTTTTGAGCTGCAGAATGTTGGAATGATTCATATTTTAAAAGACCCTGTGGCTTCTGTGTTGAAAATAGGTGAGAATGGAAGTGGGCAGACACATTAGATGGCCAGAAGTGATGGCGACTGGAACTTGGGAGGTAGAGGTAGAGATGGTAAAACGTGGTCAGATTTGGGATAAGGTTTTTTATTCCCATTTCTTTTACTATGGTAAAATACACATAATTGGCCATTTAACTATTTTAAGTGTACAATTTAGTGGAACTAAATACATTCGCAATGTCATGCAGCCATCACCATTATCTATTTCCAGAATGTTTTCATCATCCCAAACAAAAATTCTGTAACCATTTAGAAATAACTCCCCATTCCCCTCTAGCCCCTGTTAACTTTTTTTCTTCTTTTTTTGAGACAGAGACTCGTTCTGTTGCCCGGGCTTGAGTGTCATGGTGTCAGCCTAGCTCACAGCAGCCTCAAACTCTTGGGCTTAAGCGATCCTCCTGCCTCAGACTCCCAAGTAGCTGGGACTACAGGTGTGTGCCACGACACTCGGCTAATTTTTTCTATTTTCAGTTGTCTGACTAATTTCTTTCTATTTTTTTAGTAGAGACGGGGTCTCACTCTTGCTCAGGCTGGTCTCGAACTGACCTCGTGAGATCCTCCTGCCTCAGCCTCTCAGAGTGCTAGGACTACAGGTATGAGCCACTGTGCCTGGCCACCCCATGGTAACTTTTGTTTTACTTTCCATCTCTATGAATTTGCCTATTCTAGATACCTCATATAACTGAACTCATACAATATTTGTCCTTTTGTGTCTGGCTTATTTCACTTAGCATCATGTTTTCAAGGTTCATCCATGTTGTAGCAAGTATCAGAACTTCATTCCTTTTCATGGCTGGATAATATCCTATTATATGTATATAGCATGCCACCACACCCAGCTCATTTTTTCTATTTTTAGTAGATACGGGGTCTTGCTCTTGCTCAGACTGGTCTTGAACTCTTTTTTTCGAGACAGAGTCTCGCTTTGTTGCCCTGACTAGAGTGAGTGCCGTGGCGTCAGCCTAGCTCACACCAACCTCAAACTCCTGGGCTCAAGCGATCCTCCTGCCTCAGCCTCCCAAGTAGCTGGGACTACAGGCATGCGCCACCATGCCTGGCTAATTTTTTCTATATATATTAGTTGGCCAATTAATTTATTTCTATTTATAGTATAGACAGGGTCTTGCTCTTGCTCAGGCTGGTTTCGAACTCCTGACCTCGAGCAATCCCCCCACCTGTGCTTCCCAGAGTGTTAGGATTATAGGTGTGAGCCACCGCACCCAGTCTTGGTCTTGAACTCTTGACCTCAAGGGATCCTCCTGCCCTGGCTTCCCAAAGGATTACAGGCCTGAGCCACTACACCTGGCCTAGGTTCTGTGTTTTAGAGAACTTTGAACATCACAGACACACAAAAAATAACACACAAATGCCTCTGTCACCCAAGATCTCCAGCTTAGTGCTGGCACGGTATAACCCATAATCATAAATATCTGTTCTAGTACTAGCACCATTCAGGCCCCAGGGAATGCTTCCAAAGTTTCTTGCCCTATGTCCTGGGAACAAAAATGGACTTTGCTGATTGCTGTAAAGGCTTACTATTTGTTTCATTGCCAACATCAGAGACAGACACTGCTTTGGAGTCTGAGGAGGGCTGAGATATAGGAGGACTTAGGTAAGAGAAAAGACAAATTAATCAACTTTCCAAATCCTTCCTTTCTGATATTTAATAGCATGAATGCAGTTAATTATTGCATAACAAAGTGACCAGTGTCCATTTTCTTGTTTCTCTTTCAGTTTCAGTTACTGTTCCAAATTGGAGATATTCGCAGATTACATTGGCATTCACAACAGTTGCACATGGCAGCTGAGGGATATTTTCCAATAGAACAAGTCTGATTTCTCATCTGTGTATGTGTAGATCTAGATGTAATTATGTGTGGAGCATGGTACCAATTCTTCCTATTGGCATTTAGAACAATATTGAACATTAAATTGACAGCAAAATTTATTTTAAAAAATTAATAAGATTTGATTGAATTTAAAAATAAAAATATGTCTTTAAATAATAAGCTTTAAGTAATTTTGATTTAAAATTTTATATTAATGTATATAGTTTGCTTTTATTTTTAATAGATCATTTAAGCCCAGACGCCATGGCTCATGCCTGTAATCCTAGCATTCCGGGGGGGCCTGAGGCAGAAGGATCACTTGAGCTCAGGAGTTCGAGACCAGCCTGAGCAAGAATGAGACTCCCATCTCTACTAAAAATAGGAAAAAAATTAGCCAGTCAACTAAAAATAGAAACAAAAAATTAGGCATGGTGGCTCGTGCCTGTAGTCCCAGCTACTCCGGAGGCGGAGGCAGAAGGATCACTTGAGCCCAGGAGTTTGAGGTTGCTGTGAGATAGACTGATGCCACGGCACTCACTCTAGCCCAGGCAACAAAGTGAGATTCTGTCTCAAAAAAAGAAAAAAGAAATCGATCATTTAAAATATTTTGTAGTAATTTTTAAAATCTTAAGTTTTACTTTTCTTATTTTTATTTGTTTTATCAAAGTATATTCAAGTTTCATATACTTTGAAAGCAATTACATTTTAGGTTTTTGGTTTTTTTTGAGACAGAGTCTCACTTTGTTGCCCAGGCTAGAGTGAGTGCTGTGGCATCAGCCTAGCTCACAATAACCTCAAACTCCTGGGCTCAAGCGATCCTGCTGCCTCAGCCTCCTGAGTAGCTGGGACTACAGGCATGTGCCACCATGCCCGGCTAATTTTTTCTACATATATTAGTTAGCCAATTAATTTCTTTCTATTTGTAGTAGAAACGGGGTCTCACTCTTGCTTAGACTGGTTTTGAACTCCTGACCTCGAGCAATCCACCCGCCTCAGCCTCCCAGGAGCTAGGATTACAGGTGTGAGCCACCGTGCCCAGCCACATTTTAGTTTTAATTCTTTAGATCAAGGGCTGGCAAACTTTTCTGTAAAGGGCCAGATAGTAAATATTTTTGGCTTTGCAGGCCATTATGGTCTCTATTACAACTACTCTGCCATTGCAGGACCAATACATAAATGAATGAGCGTGAGTGTGTGCCAATAAAACTTTATTTATAGAAACCACTACAGGCCTGATTTAGTCCACAGGCTATAGTTTGTTAATAACTGCTTTAGATTGTTACTGTCAAGAGAACACAAATTATGTGAAATTTTTAATTTTAATTACATGTTAGTGGCTGGGCACAGTGGCTCATGCCTGTAATCCTAGCACTCTCTTGGAGGCCAAGGCAGGAGGATTGCTTGAGCTCAGGAGTTCAAGACCAGCTTGAGCAAGAGCGAGACCCTGGCTCTACTAAAAATAGAAAAATTAAAATAGAAAAAATTAGCTGGGCATAGTGGCACATGCCTGGAGTTCCAGCTACTTGGGAGGTGAGGCAGGATTGCTTGAGCCCAGGAGTTCGAGGCTGCAGTGAGTTATGATGATGCCATTGTACTCTAGCCTGTCCCTCAGTGCCAGGTTGGACATTTCCTGGGTTGTTGGTCTACTCTCACATTGAAGGGAATGATTAGCAGCTACAAGTCAGTGTCAAAATCCTTTTCGTCACATTTGAGCAACAGGGGAGGTTTGGAGGGAGGAGCTTTCTGGCTAAGTCTACCTAGAGTCCATTGTTAAGTTCAATTTTGTCTGTCTCATAGGCATTGGCTATCATCTCAAAGAGCTGGGCCAGCATTATTTTGTAAGGAGTTGTACTTCTGCAAAAATTTACAAATAACAGGTATAAAGTTTAAAAAAGAAAATAATAGGAATATGATAATCTCAGTTTGCGTAATAGTTTGGGGCCATGAACCTAGGCTGAAAGCCAACCAACTGCATACATTAAATGAGTATGGGGAATTAGGTGAGACCTGATGTAACCATATGGCCAGGTTTTTTATTTTGTGTATTTGGGTCTCAACTTCCCCAGAGGAATTTATCCAGGTACAGCATGTAGTATTAGCAATAGCACAGACATTTCCTTATTTAACCAATACATAATATAGAGTGATTTTATCACCCAGTAGCCTATGACTGGGTTGATTTAAAGCAGAGAGTGAGCAATAGTTGTTTTAAGAATACTGCCAACAGTACCCAGTAGGTGAACTAAAAGATTTCTCAGGTCAGGTTCTGTCAAGCTACCAGCAGAAGCTATTGATTGTGAAATTTCAATTACACCATTATCATGTCAAGTGAAAAAGATAGGAATTAAGATGAGTAAGAATCTCATTATAACATTGAATCTTGTTCTGACATCTTGGAAAAAAACTATCTAAGGCATGAAATTGTCAATTTTTTCTTTTGGTTTGTACTTTGCATGTTTCTAGCTATGGCGTCCAGCGGTTTGATGAATATTTTTTGTGGCCCATAAATCAGGCATGAGACTTATTCCTTAAAATTCATCTCATTTAAGATTATAGGGCTTTAGGAATAGAGCAGTTCCTGTTTTTAGTAATTCCATGGAAGAAAGTTGGATTGGAGGAACCTAGAAGAATCCAAGCTCTGGTCTAGTCTACAACTAGCTAATAAAAATTCAAAAACAATGTACAGGGTGACAATCAAGTAAGAGAAATATTATGGCTTTTATTTTAAGAAACATAACTTTCCTCTCCATAGTCATCCTGATTTTTACCAAAGAGAATCAGAGTAAGACAAATTTGTTTGTAAAATAAATTTAGTCTCATCAATTTTGTTCTGATTATTTATATAAGAGCAACAAGGGTAGCAATGGATTACATAGGAATCTCAGATTTGCAAACCTCTTGAGGCTAGGAAGACAAAGCAAGGAAGACTTTGGTTGCTGGGCCTGTGAAAAAGGGACAATTGTTACTCTCTGTCAGGCTGGGAACCCTTGAAGCCTTTTATGCACATTCTGAAATACGACATTCCAGTCAAAGCCATTGGTAGTAAAACCAGTGTTTTCAATTGTATCCTATTATAAAAAGAAAGTAAATTTTTAATGAACTTATGTAACTAACCATGTTTCCATAAGAATACTCATGAATAGTTGTCAAATTTTGGAGGGATCAAGTAGGGAGAAAAAGTAAATGTTTTCACTTTGTTCACAAAAGTATACTTTACCAAATTGCTATACACTATAGATAGTTTAAGAGAGAAAATTTTCTTAAATCTGGAAAGCAAAACATTTAAGAACCAACAATGGGGCGCGGTGGCTCACGCCTGTAATCCTAGCACTTTGGGAGGCCGAGGCGGGCGGATCGCTCAAGGTCAGGAGTTCGAAACCAGCCTGAGCGAGACCCCGTCTCTACCAAAAATAGAAATAAATTAATTGACCAACTAAAAATATCCCTACGTTATTGATAATCTAAATATCTTGTTATGTCAATTCACTATTTTTGCTCTAATTTTTTATTAATTCCCTATCTTTTACTTTGGGTTGGTGTTGCTAAACTTCTAGAATTGGAAGGCGTATTAATTTTAATATGAAAAATTATCTAATAATCATTTTTCTTGAGTATCAGTTTGGGTCATGTTACCACACTTGTCCATTCCAATGTGCATCTGTCTGCCTTTTCATCCTTTCTACTTCTTAACAGACCTTGTGTTTACTTAGGAATCTATCTTACTCTTAGATATAAGGGGATGTTGTGCTAGTCTTTTCGAAATATGTTTTACTTCTACGGGTTTCTTCTTTAATACAAAATTATTTTAAGTCCTTGGTTTTCCTGTGATACCTTGAACAACCACTACCTTTTTTTCACCTTTAGTTGCTGACCCTTTCATGGTACTTGAATTGTTTAATTGCAATTTTAATAAAATTTATTAGATTTCATCAATTACAATGGTACATATGGACTTTCCTACTTATTGAAAAAAGTTAAAATTTTTAATGAACTTATGTAACAACCATGTTTACCATAAGAAGACCTCATGAATAGTTGCCCTCTATACACTAGTATACCAGGGCGATCAAGTAGGAGGAAAAAGAAATGTTTTCCACTTTGTTCACCAAAAGTATAACCTCTAATGACCTAGAAAGAATTAATTGCGAGTACTAAACAAACATCTCATCAACGAGATTATATCGAATTTTAGAGATAGAGAAAAATTTAATTCACAGATATAAATCTAGACGTAAAGATGCAATAACATCATTAAGAACACATCATATGGTCAGAGCGCACGGCAAAGAGAGCACACACAACAAACAGCACACAAACTATCACATCTTAACAGCACTCTAAGAGAGCAACGATGTGATTCACAATACCGCGATGCAGGGCGGGGGGATCAGATCGAGCTACAAAAAGGTATAGCAGCATGAGACAATAAGATAACAGAGCAGATACCCACAGCGACTGGTGATGCGAGAAAGACCCCCACGAGTACTCTACCTTCTTAAAACAAATATATAGATAATCATAGAATTAATTGAGACACGTAATCACAAATAAGGTTATGAAGAATAACTTTATCACTACAAAATGACACATAATAAAAAGCCTGTGCGCTAGGTTGCTATGTCACTTGTACTTTGACCTCAGCCTAACACTGTGTTGGGCTCAATTATGTTGCAGGAAGCGCTGAGTGCAAGAGACAGAGGATCTGAGTCTTGAGCCCAGGAGTTGGAGGTTTGCTGTGAGCTAGGCTGACCGCATGGCACTCACTCTAGCCTGGGCAACAAAGTGAGACTCTGTCTCAAAAAAAAAAAAAAAAAAAAAAGAACCAACAATGTTTTAAATAAAAGTCACAAAAATATAATCTTTATCAGTTACTTAATCTCACGTAATTAATTTTTGTTGTGTTTCATCTTGATTGGCAGTTTTATGAATTTATCAGTTTCTTTTTTTTTTTTTTTTTTGAGACAGAGTCTCACTTTTGTTGCCCGGGCTAGAGTGCCGAGGCATCAGCTTAGCTCACAGCAACCTCAGACTCCTGAACTCAAGCGATCCTCCTGCCTCAGCCTCTGGAGTAGCTGGGACTACAGGCATGCACCACCATGCCTG